TAAATTCAGATATTCTAGAACATATCTTTAGCTTAAATAAAAAAAAAAAGAAAGAAAAAGGACACCATGGGACATGTTATTATAAAATATATTTCTTCGCTTACAATGTATGCAGTTCCAAATATTTATCAGACACGACAGCGTGTATTTGTCGTTGCTAAGGAGGATGGCTAGCTCAACAATTATATAAAGGCTCCTTCCTGCGTACAGTATATTATTACAGCCATTCGCATCTTCTAAATTTCGCAAAATAGGCCATATAAATGAGTCAAGAAATATTCTTTTGCAAATTCGACGCTAGAAGCCTCTGAAGAATAACGTCTTTACAGAGGCGGCATCTACATTATAGCACCACCTATTCCTCTGCTCAGGCTTACATTTGGTACCTATACAAATGGATCTATTATTTATGCATTGCAATTAAAAAAAAATGAGACCTTTCTTGTATTAGGCATGGTAAACTACCAAAAAAGAGAAGCTATTTTCTTATTTGATCCTCCTTCTGCTGTTGAACGATAGTGAACACGATGCAGACGACTTCTAATTTAAATCTGGAAGATTTAAAAGAAGGTATTAAATTACGTACTATTGATAAGTGCTACTGTAGAACAGAATAAACCACTGTTTCGATCAAATTCTACTATCATGCGGAGTCCACATTTTTTTTTTTTCTTTTTTTGTTAATAATGTAAACGTCTTATAGTTCTATCTCAGCAAAGAAATGATGACGCCATAAAGGTCTCTTTCTCTTCTTTTTTTTTTTTCTGAATAGAATAATGCAAATTGTTGGGCCCCCTTCTTCATCGTTGGTTTGCTTGTTGTTAGCAATTCCTTCTGGACCTTTTTCCATGTAAAAGTCTCTCAATGCGGGCATTTACAAAAAATTATATATGAATAATGAAACCATGAATGCAATTCGTACAAGTTGAGAACATATTATATAAACATTATGCTAAATTTAACCAAAAAGGATGAAGCGTAGTACCATTATTGACATCTGACGTTAGGGTAGTTTGGCTAATTTATATGTGTATATTGATTCGAGCTGTTGTACTCCTACTTCTATTTTAAAGTTGGACGAATCTTCACTGGTATGACAGATCCTTAAAACATTACTTCCATGCTAATCACCTATCTTATAAGCACAATGAAACAGATGACCATGTAAAGAAATGAATTTTCTAAATCCTTACCACAATTAAGGGGTAAAATACAAAATCCCCTGTCAGAAAGTTCAAAAGAGATAATCGTAGAATTTTATTCGTAGCAAGCTATGCATATCATTTATGTATAAATGCCTCAGGAAATAGAAGAAAACATTAACAGAGTTTAGATCATCCGATGATAGGTCTCATATCCTGATCTAAAGAAACCAAAATTGGCAAAGTTCACATATAAATTTAATTCACTGTCTGTTCCAAAATACACACAGCACATATATTTGTCTTCCAATATTTAAATACTTTTCCATGGCAAAGAATACAGTCACGATGCCACTTTGGCATCGATCATTGCTGAAACGGTGCTGTATAATCCACTTGGCTCCGGTTTCCAATAAAGAAGATTTTATCAGAGAATTGTATATATAAGCATATAGGTACAAGAATATTTATTCTTGCTATTGTTACCATCTTATATATGCATATACATGTGTACCTACCGCTCAGCGTCTTTCTCTCTACGTTTATCTGTGGGCTTCCATCATGAGTGTTCGTGATTCGAGTAGAAATCCATTTAATTGACTCTCCTCCATAGTAAGTGGCTCATTTACGAATAAGATAAAGGGCTTTCTGCCCACATTTATAAAACTGTCATGATTGGACTCGGGCAAATTATCCCTTATGATGTAGTAGGAAAACAGCCTATTTTTATACTCCTCCAGGATCCTCATGGTTCTGTGAATAGTATGATTGCTGTTCCGCACCTGTTCCTCCTGAATGTTTCCATCCACGCTATACACACATGTTAATTTTCCCAAATAATATGATAAATGGTCCTTCATCGTCTGCAACACCCTTTCTGGAGTTTCGGGCAGCTTTATCCTTCTCTCAAGCATACCCGCCCTGAATAAATTATCATTCACCGAATTGATTATTTCATTTAGATGTTCTTTTTTAAAGCTATGGAAAACGATGTACTATTGTTCAATTAGCTAAGGTGGGTCATACGAATTTTAGTAAAATTCATCTATTGTTCTTACACTTCTCTCTGTGTCTTCATAGAAGTTGTCTATAATTTCTGAAATAAGGGTGTGTTAATTCTTTCTGTGTAGTATTCTAATTTGGCTGTGGATTATTGTACAAGCGGTGTTCAATTTCAAGAAAATAGTCTGTGAATTCTCTCTCTGTTGTATTATCATTTCTCTGTGGAATAGGTTGCAAATCTTCCTTAACTCGGTCAAATAGGTATTCAGCCCTTCCTTGCGTGTCCTCATTACATATATATTCATTCTGGTCCTTGGGGTGCTCAGTTAAATTTAATGCCTGCTCGTCGAAGAGATGTCCCACTTCAACAGTAACATTGGAAACATAGCCATATTAAAATTTGATATTTTTTAGACAAAAAGAAGATTATTAATATTTACTACGCTTATTCTTGTTGTGTGTATAATTTACAGCAGATGTCAGACTCTGTCCCATTCTATTAGACTTTTTATCTGATGAAATCATCACAGAGATAGTCACCACGACAGATAGCACACCCTGGCGCATTGGACTGAACAGAAGAAGAATTCTGTCCCTTTCTATTTCCTTCTCATCTAGGCTACATGAATAAATATACGTAGAGAAATTTACTCTGTATATAATAATGCATCTGTACACAGCTGTTAAGTCTTATAGGGGAGAAATCATTTAATGACAATAATTTTTAAAAGTAAAAAAAGAAACTTCCGTTATAGTAATAAAGATTACTCTCGATTTTCTGTCTCTATATCTAAAGGAGCGCGAAACATACATAAAAAGGTTACTGCGTATAAACAAAAGAAAAAAAAAAAAAAACAGTCCACTTTGTTATTTTTCCCGAATTGAAAATGAAACATGTATGATGTAATTAAAAAGAAAAAAAAGGAACAAAACAGAAAGAGGAAAGAAAAAGAAGAAAATTATAAATAACATAAAATACACACTTTTAA